TTAGAGTTTTTAGCATCACCATGTAAAATGGATGGCAAGTTACAGGGCGAAGAAACGAACAACAACAAACTGCCGAACACATAGCCACTAGAGACTATCTTCTCATCTCATCTGTCTCCCACAATTCACTGCGGTGGGTTGTCGCGGCAGAGCGCCAGTCAGGCCGGTGAAGCTCAGCATGGTTTTATCTCCCAGCAGTGGAGGAAGAAACAGAGGTCCTTTAAAGGGCTGAGGTCATTTCCTCTGCCTCCAGGCTCTGGCAAAAAAAAAAAAAAAAGTCTCCATTTGGTCAGCCCTGCTTTATTTCAAATGCCATTGCTGCCTTTTAAGAGACCCTTGTGGGCACGGATGGCAAATGAGAGGTTTTGAGTTGTCGTAATCTATCCCTTTTCTTACTCCCTCTGCCATTTCCAATCCCCCACCACATCTTTGATGTAAACCTCAAATCACTGATGTATTTTTCAAAAGTATATGTGTAAATGCAGGGCCAGAGATATACAGAGAAGATGAGCATGAGTGCAGAGGAGCATGAGCACGATGTGTGAAATGAAAAGCAGAATGCTTCCTCGTATCAACAGCCCTCAACAGCCCTAAAGCCTTTTCATAACTTCTTGTTTCACTCTGAACTGGGATGCATCCAAAGCACATGTGTGTACTCAGAGAGCACATGCAGCTGATGTTGTTGAGCGTATCACAGAGTAAGGCGAGCAGTGAGGGAGTGAGTCAGCGTTGGGAAGATAGAGAGGTTCGTTGAAGGGCCTGCGTGGTGGTGGAAAAGAGACGCGGGAACAGGCACCCGGACCGTGATGTTCGGAAGACGAATGATAGATATATTGCATGGCCACTGTTGCTGCAGAAGCAGAACACACCTGAGGCAGATGGATGGGGAGTGCGTGCGGGGGTACGATTAATCTTTGTGAGTGTGCCCTTTGTGTTTGAGTGCGTGGGAGAGTTGTATTACATGGTCTTGGAGTGCAGTTTTGAGATGTGGTACTTCAAAACTGGGCTTTCCAGTACTTTACAGCAACCGAGAGCAAATGTGCAGACAGATGCAGTGTGGGGAAGAAGCCGCCGCATGCATGTTTGTGTTAGAGCGTGGGTATTTGTGACGTTTTTATCGAAGAATACACCTGACCTGTGAGCAAACAAGGCATCAGCGATTGTTGTTTTGTTGTTCTGCAACAGTCAACATCAACTCCTACACTCACTATTCCATCTAACATCTCACCAAGTATTATTTTTCTTTTCATCTTTACTATGTTCAATTTAATTATTTTTACAGCCTACAACAAAACAACTCTACAAGGCATGAATCAAGTTGAAAGATCAAGTTGAAATGAAGCAACACGACATTCAGTATTAACTACTGTACATGTACACAGAAGCATAAAAATAATGCGTAAACCAATTACTGACCTGGGAAAAGGTCACTTATAGACAACGTGTAATAAACACCTTGCAGTTTTTAGGCATGTCGAAAAGTCTTCTATTCATTAACTTTGCAAATGGCAAGAGTAAAAAAAAAACAATCAAAATATTTTTGAAAGAAACTTGATGCTGGAGTTTGCGCATCACATTTCTAACATTTGAATGTCACTAGAAGTATGCAAACAAGTTTTATTTTTATTTTCCCATTGTTAGTTTTGCCTCACACAAGAGGCATTTGAATTAGTTTGATATAAAAATGAAACCTAACTGAATTAAGCATGCCTCGTACGACAGTCAGTTTTTAATTGGACTAAATAAACAGCAAAAATGAACAAGTAGTTTGTGAACAATCTAAGCAATCCCTCAATGTTTTGATAAGAATTAAAAAGGAAAGCATCAGCCAGCTTATAGTAATGTAACTGACTTCACTAAGTGAGAGTGAGCATCTCTAGAAGAGCAGAACTTAGAGTATTTTGTTGACTTGGAGCGTTCAGGGTTGTGTTAAGATGAGACAACAGGTGTGATCTTAGAAAAGCTGGAAGGTTACATGACAATTTCCAAACTATTTAGAGTCACTCTACAGCAAGAGAATAGAAAACATTATTTTCAGGTTTGTGCGTTCCAAGTTCATCTCAAGGTTAGAATTCATAATAATAATAAAAAAATCACTAAAAAGACAACAAATATAACTTGTTTAGTCAGGATGTCAGGAGAAAATCTTTTTTCCATCCAAAAATAGCTCATCCCATTGACATTATTTTGTAAAATTACAAATTTTCTAAGTACAGTAGTCCCTTGCTACTTCGCAGTTTGACTTTTGCGGATTCGCTCTTTCGCAGTTTTTCAAAGAAAGACTGGACATGACACACAACTGGCTGATTGATGTATGAGCCACACGATCGGCATGGAATTTTTTATTTTAAATAAATTATTTTTAATTATTTAGCACCTGCTACACCTGTGAGCAGCCCACACATGCAGGAGGGAGAAGCTTCTCTGCTGCAATGTGTTGATCTCCACTCTGCAGCAGAGAAGTGGGCGTGGCCAAGAGCACTGGCAGGTGGCAGAGAGAGTGGAGATCATGATATGCTCTGCTCTTTTAGAGCATTTAGAGATTAGAAACATTGTTAAGAATATTGCAAGAGTGTGGAAAGGGTTTAAAACGCTTATATATATATATATACACAGTAGTCCCTCGTTTATCACGGGGGATCTGTACCCTGAAGACCTGCGATAAGTGAAAAACTGCGAAGTAGGAATAGTAGTACAAGTAGTAAGTAGTATATTTTTATATATATATATATATATATATATATATATATACTGAATAGGCATTTTAAACCCTTCGCACTCTCTTGCAATATTCTAAACAATGTTTCTAAACTTCAGAATGTCATGATTTCAGCTCCCTGCCTCCTCTGCTCTTTGCCACCTGCAAGTGCTCTTGGCCACGCCCACTTCTCCACTCTGCACAGTGAACAGCTGATCAGCTGCAGCAGGATGTTTATCCTGCCTTGTGGGCTTCACAAATGTGCAGCAGGGGCTAAATAACTTAAAATAATTCATTTTTAAAAAATAACTTCCATGCCGATCATGTGACTCATCCATCAATCAGCCAGTAGTTTGTCATGTCCAATCTTACTTTGAAAAACTGCGATAGAGCGAGTGCGCAATAAACAAACTGCAATGTAGCAAGGGACTCCTGTATAATAAAATAAACTACTACTTACTACTTGTACTACTATTCCTACTTTGCTGTTTTTCACTTGTCGCGGGTGGACTGAGAACGGAACCCCCCCGCGATAAACGAGGGACTACTGTACTTTGAAAATATTAATATTTTGATAGAGGCTTTAAATTTCTTCTTTGTCTAAAATCTAATCAGAAAATTTGATGTTTAATATTTTTGCATATAGTCACATCTCCAAAGTTTTTAAACTTGTAAAGTGAAAAAAAAAAGTTACACCAGATAAGCTATGTGTTATGATTTCCAGTATTTGTGAGTACCATGTCAGAACTGACTGTTCCTGAACACTTTGCGATAATTTCCTCAGTTCTGGCAGGCCTACATTATAAACAAACAACGCAAAGGACAGGTGAGAGGCAGGTATGTACTGTGTGTGATGGTGGCACAATGGTGACAAGATACCATCCTGACATTTAAACAGGTGTAGGGTCAGAAGTTTAGATGGGAAACAATGCTTTATTGTTCTAGCTCATTTTAATTTTGGTTGGCTCTTAGGAGCGTATGTCAAGCTTCTTATCCAACTGTTTGGCTTGCTTATCCTTTAAATATCTGCTCACCTTTGATATCCGAGATATGGAAAAAATAAGATTAGATATTTTTGCAAAGGTTACCTAAACTTCAAAGACACCAAGGAACAACGACTCTTTCAAAGTTGTTAAGGCATTCTCATCACAGTTTTCTGTCTTTTTTTTTTATTTTTATTTTACAGTACTGCATATCAGGAGGGTGAGTTATGAGAAATGTTGGGTCCTCTACAAAAAACTCTTCAGCTAGATGGTTTCTGAACTGGTGGTTCACTGGATGTAAAAAGCTGTATAAATTGTATTCCTTCATTTCTGACAAAATGAATTTTAAAAAAGTTTGTCACTTCCTTTTACAGCCTCCTCTTCACTTTATTGTGCATTTTGAGACATACAAACAGATCAGCCCCTTTAACAAATATCTCTTTCTGGGTTTTATTATCAAGTACGACTAAAAACCTGCCAAGATGATACAAACTTTTTCCTCTATCCTCTACAAAACAACAAGTATGTCCATCAACGCTTTGACCCTGAGAAAGCCTGGCAGGATAAGCTCTAGTGTGTAGCATGGTTAAGAAAACAGCTTCACCTTGAAGGGCCACACTTCAGTGACAGGGAAACCACAAAAAGCAATTAAAAGTATTGATGGAACTTCAATAGCTCTTAAACAGTGCTGCCAGACACCTCGGGGCAAGCGCCAAGCTATTTTTCTTTATTTCTTTGACTAATTCTCCATCTTTCACAGTTTATTTGGTAAAGACGTTGCTAATCTTTATCATTGCCAAGCGATTGCTCAAAAAGGTGTGTAAATGTGGCATTGACACTAAGAGGATGAAGTTAACAATGATATGAACTGAAGTTAATCTAACCCCAGCCAGCTTTTTAGCCCTCTAATTGGTAAAAAAAAAAAGTGCCTTCAGTGCAAGTATGTAATAGTTTTTTTATGCTGTACTCTTGGAAACTGTCTCAAATAAGCCAGAGATTGTTGTGCATGTCACAAAATGTGAAATCAAAAAGGACACCAAAAAAACAAAACCAAAAAAAAAGAAAAAGAAAAACGGAGGCCACGGCTGCCTGTAAAGCAGGGCAGTACCTTCCAGGATAAGGCTGTTCCAATGAATCTTTCCTGCAGTGTTAGGCCGGTGACTTTCTAAATCACTGGCTTACAGCTCACAGCCTCCTCGGCTGAACTTTAAATGTATGTGAAGGCTTGAATTGCTGTTCTTGTGACAGGACAGCTTAAAGAGTGATAGCTTTTCCACTAAACCAATGTGGGTGTACAAGCTACAGAAACAATGACTTACCTTTGCATTGGTTAGTGTTCTTATCCAGAATGGCCTTGGTTGACACTATCTTTCCATACCTGCAAAGACAAAGAAATCCGATTTAATGTTTTTAAACCACTGCACATCAAACTATTTGGGTAGTTCATTTGGATCACAATCATGTGGTTAAAGTTGACGCCTTATTTTCTTTATTCTCGGTCATTTACTTGCAACAAGCACATTTCAGAGTTGCACAAATGTCAAAAGCCATTGGAAAGAGAAATCACTTGAGGTTAATAACATTTTGTGTATGGCTGGCTTCAAATGACTGAGAAAGCCTTTGACATTTCAGAGAGTCATTGGACAATTTCAAAAGGTCTGGCAGCTTACAAATGCAGAAAATGGCCTTTTTATGTTGGTGTCGTGTAGCGTTCTGACAAATTGTTTCAAATGTGAAAACTATAACAATAAACCTGAAGCTTACTTAATCAAAGGAGAACAAATATTAAATGTGTAACTATTAGGTTATGTCCAGCTTTTTGAAAAAAAAAAAACAGTTACTACCAATTTCTTTTTTTTTAATGCTGAGTTAACTACTTTTAAAACAAACACATGAAGCTGTAAGGCAAAACCCAGTCATTACAATAAAGGCAAATACTGCTAACAGAAGTGTCTCCAAAGAAATATTTGAAGTAAATTTAGTCAATTTCTTAAAAGTCTGAATTGTTGATTCCGATTTTGGCTGATACCGATTTATCAATCAACCTTTATTTATACAGGTAAATCCCATTGAGCCTCGAGGACTCATTTACAAGAGAGACCTGATTTCAACAAAGAAAGATGACAACAATGGACAACAGCAACAACAATAAGCAGTTATAAAAACTCATACTACAGGTTTTTTTTTTTTGGTTTTTTTTTAACAAATAGGATGGCTAAAAGGAAAAAGGTAACAAAACAAAAAACAGCTAGATTCCAAGACAAATGTAGAAAACTAAAAACAGGAACATGTCTGCATTGGACCCTGCCAGGAGTCCAACAGATTCTTAAAGACACTTAGAGAGGTCAAGGTCGAGAGCTTCAAATCTTTTTGTAAGATATTCCAGGAAACAGGAGCGGAGTAGGAGAAGGCCCTTTTGCCTAGTTCAGTCCTCACTGAGGGAACACTGCAGGTAATAATGTCCTGAGAGCGCACTCTGTAGCTGCACTCACGCAGAGACATGTAGGAGGAGATGTATGAAGGCAACAGACCAAGAAGTGATTTAAAGATGAAAATGTACCAGTGAGAGAGTCTGCGTGAAGTTAATGATGTCCAGTTAACCAGTGAATACAGAGTGCAGTGGTGGGTACGATAATCACAGCCAGTTATGAATCTTAGTGCACCATGATAGACAGCATCCAGCATCTGCAGGGTTCTTGTAGGAGCGTTCATGTAAATAATATCACCAAAATCAATTGAGGGAAGGAAAGTCACAGATACAAGGCGTTTTCTAGCATTCAGGGTTAGACAGGATTTGTTTCTGAAAAAGAAACCCAGTTTAACTTTCAGTTTCTTTACCAAGTTTTCCACATGGAGCTTAAAAGAAAGATGTGAGTCGACCAAGATACCCAAATATTTATAGGAATCAACAAACTCAATGGGGACACCATTTGCGGATAAAATCGGAGGAAGAACTGCTGGGACCAACTTCCTATTTGAAAAAAGCATCCCTTTGGTTTTTTCGGCATTTAGGACAAGTTTGAGGCGGAACAAATCAGTCTGGATGTAGTTAAATGCAGATTTCAAAAGCTGGAAAGCCTTAGCAACTGTTTTAGCTCGACAATAAACAACTGTGTCGTCAGCATAGAAATGTATGGATGCATTAGGGATGTTTTTGCCTACATTATGTATGTAAAAAAGTTTAGTTTTAAATTTAAATTTTAAATTTAGTTTTATAAATGACAATGTTAAGTGTTATAAGGTCACAATGCACTTTCAATTTTCCAGTATTATTTTATTGAAAAACATACCCTTGAACAGTATCCTAGAAACAGTATAAACTTGTTTGAAATGGCCATGAGGTAGTGCTCTGAAATATAAATGAAGTTCAGACAGTTCTTGTTAAAACTACAAAAAAAAAAATCGGTAAAATTGGTTTCTCATGTACATCGGCCGATTTCCGATTTCCCAAAATTAAGGAAACAGGGGCCTCTAAGTACAAGCATATCAGGCCAAGGCTGATCATAATGTTTTGGCTCTCAAATGAAAGACAGTGATATCAATATTTTCATTTGGGTTTTTGTACGAAAGCAAATAAAAGTACGCAGAAGCAGCGTTTGTCTAATTTATATTTTAACCCAATGGAGTATGTTTTCTTAAAAAGCTTGGAATTTCTTTCCAGCCTAATGAAGTTCAGCATCTTACAACAAAAGTGAAAAAGGTCTGATCCAAACCTGTTGTTTTAGCAAATATCATGATGTTTTATTTCGTACAAAAATCTTCAAAATCCACTATTTTACTCTTTTATTCAGGTCAGAAGTCCATAGGAGCACCTTCAGTATGCACCGTGTATTTTAAGGAATTAATATCCGTCTCTTTTAGTGAAATGTTTCTCATACCATTGGCAGCAACACAAACCAAAAGCAACACTAATGAACCTATTAAAATTCCTAAAACAAACCATGGCCAAAAGGTTGTATTTTATTGTCATCTATCCAGATGGTTTAAATGACAAAATCAATCAAGCTTTTTTATAGGTTCACTGTCAAACTTCTGATGGTGGTCAGAATGCAGGAACGTTGTTTTTCTGCTGCCTTTTTTTTTTTTTTTGAACATAAGTGTAATTGTCATAACACAATTTTGAATAAAGAATTCCCTATTTCAGAGTTCGTTAACTCTAAGGCCAAATCCCATTTCCTTGTTGCTCCAACTCCTACATTTACGCTTTAATTTGAAGCTGTAGTGGTCCAAATAGTCCACTATGGAAAGGGGTACCCCTTCAAGAAGCTGAACACCATTAGTTGCCGCCATTTTTTTTAAAAACAAACTCCAAATAAAATAAACATTAGTACCAGTAATATAAAAGTTATTTGATAGGAAATCGTAGCATTGTCAGCTTAGTATAAATAAGGCAAAATTGGTAGAGTTGCTGTCTCTCAGCAAGTAGGTTGCTGGATCAAACCTTGACCCGCGACCTTTCTGGGTGGAGTTTGCATGTTCTCTCTGTGCATGTGTGGGTTTTCTCCGGGTACTGCGGTTTCCTCCCACAGACCAAAAACATGCATGTTAGGCTGATTGGTTACTCTAAATTGCCCCTAGGTGTGAGTGAAAGAGTGAATGGTCATTTGTCTCTAGGTGGCCCCATGATGGATTTACGACTTGTCCAGGGTGTCCCCCGCCTCTCGCACAATGATGGGCACCAGTGACCCCCCGCTACCCGGAAAGGAAAGCAGGTAAATATAACTGAAGAATGGAAATTTGATGGTCCTTCCATCCATTAGCTTCTGCTTGTTTGAAGTTGGGTTGCAATTTTATGGTCCTATTCTCAGAATATATCAGCAGCTTCGGATGTTATCAGCCCATTAAATGAACGTTATTGTCCCTTCTACCTCCTAGCAGTTTTAAAGTTTAGTTTGTATCGCTGATAATATGCAGCGTTGCATGCAGGTAAAACAGGAAGTGTTTTTGTTTTTGTCAACTTTATGCAACCCTTTTCCTAAACCTAACCTTACACCTGATCCAGAGCACTGACCCTAAACTTAACCCCCTTACCATTGTGCCTTAACCTAACCCGGACACTAAACCTAACCCCTAGACCCTTTACTCTGAACCTAACCACGTGAGCCTATTGTCAGCACTAACAATGCTAACAACGTACCTTTAAACCCACTGGGAGGTAAAGGAGGGCAGTCTGAATGCTACATATGGAGATGATAACAACTGATAATAGGTCATTTAATGGTTGATAACATTTGGAGCAGATGAATATATAGGACCTGTGTAAAACAAAAGGTTTGATCACCTTCAAAATTGAAAAGGAAAGAAAATAATACAGAAATGGTGCGTCTGTTTCAATTAGTTAGACCTAGATTAGATGCAAAACATATTTTTGTGGCCCACTAGACTTTAAGCTGACCTCAACCATTTAGAAAATGGCCATTCCTAATTATCTTTGTGGTACATGAATAAATATTTCCAAAAAATCTGTATTTCAAAAAATTCAGTGTTGAAGAAAACCGCTAAGCAGAGTCTGGAAAAAGGTTTAACGAATCAGCATATTTGTAAAGGTTTCTGACGATTTACATAATCTGACCTTTTCTAAGCATAACTCTGACTAAATCCTATTCCTAACGAGTTAATTAAGGTCCAAAAGATTGTCTAAAAACTAAGAGAGCTCTCTGAACAAGTACATCTTTTTTTTTATTATAAATTTAACAAAACTTAATTGCAAATACTATTTTCATGAGTAAATATCATCTGTAGAAAAACAGTGGGTCAGAGTTCCATTGGTTTTTGAACTGTACTTGTGTTTTGTCATATTTGGTGCTAAAAACACACATTTATGACTGAATGACAGTTTTTCTTGCAGCTACTCTCGGCTACAAGCTCTCCATGCTGCATTGTTTGCAGTGAAGAGACACTCTGACGTGCATGTGTGGATAAACTGTGTGTGTATTGAAATGTGTGTAGGTGTGTGTGCGCAGCTGTTCATACAATGAGACTTGTGTATGTGATGCGCACATGTGAGATAAAGAAAGAACAGCTCTCTGTGAGTTAAATGTGCATCACATTGAGTAAACAGACAAAAAAACAAACAAAAAAAAAACCCAGCCACTTTACTCACACACACACATTCTGTAGGAAAGGAGCAGTGGTGCATCCCGGCCCATATTTCACCAGCAGGGGATAATTGTGCCATTTCTCAACGAGTGCCAGAGACTCTATTTACTGCATGCTGCGGTGGGATGGGTGGTGGATATGAACTGATGAGCTCCAAGAGGAAAACTACTAGCTTGCACATACACACACTAATACGAATAACACAGGACACACAAATTTGCACACACAGTGAAAGCACTCACCAATCAGTCGATTGTCTCCCCTCAGCAGATAAAATGG